TACCTTGCTTTATACAAGTATAACATCTTTATTTTTCTCAATGTGTTAGTTTTTTTTTTTAATTTTTTCTAATATTGCAGCCCTATGGCTGCTTTTAAATTGGTATAAAAGCAGCATAACTCTAGTGCCGCTTCCAGTTTTCTATTTTCGTAAGCCATCACTATGTTTATTAATTTCTTTTCTGTTGTAATCTCTCTTAACCTTTTATATAGTTTTCTTTTATTATCTACAAACATTTTTATTAGGTAAAAATGTATTGATAAATTAGTGCACAAATGTGTACAAAACTTTTTATAAAAATTTCAACAAGCCCATAAATTTCAGTAGTTAAATGAGTTTTGCTTTCAAATTGACTATTTTGTATAATATGTATTGCGTTAGTTCAAAGAAATATGGAAATTTTATACCGCAATAAATTTGATTTTTTTTTTGTGGGTCGAGAGAGCGAGAAAAAATACACGTGATATTCATAACGCAGCTAAAGAGAAATAAGTAGGGGGACCGAATACAATAATACCAGAAATATGTGTTATAGTTTTAGCTATGTATACATATGTATATACTTGTATATGTATACGATTATTATTCAGTATTATTGTAAAAAAATATATGATAACATAAATTTTAAAAGTTGCAAGACTTCTTTTGGCCAACTTTAATTGGTTATTTAATATATATTTTCAAATATTCATTTCCTTATTTAAAAATAATTCAAATTTTTTAAAGAGAATTGTATTTAAAATTAATTAAATTTCTCTTTTCTGTTTTTAATTTGAAATTTTTTTAGTTGTATTTGAATATGGTACAATTATAATTTCTGAGAGAAAAATTTTAAATTTTTATGTGAGTAATTTCTAAATTGTATAATATATTTTTATATTTGAAGAATATTATATATTTGTATATTTGTTGTTAATTCTACAAAATTATTTTTCCTAGTAACAACTTATGCTTTTTTTAAATAGAGCTGCTGCAACCAAATGCTTATATATTTTTGAAATTTTTTTAGACAACAAATTGCATACATATAATATAAGTTAAATATATGTAAATATGGTATAAACGATTTGCATTATTTATATTCAAATAAAGAAATGATAAGAAAATTTTTTATATTTATAATTTTCATTTGAATACTTTGGCTTGCTTCAGGTTATTTAATATAGTTTTAAGTAATCGTAGATTGTATATAAAAATAATATATTTTTTTTTTACTTTGCAATACATATTTGAAATTAATTGAACTTTTTTTGGGAGAATTTTATAATAAATTTTGTTTTTTAATTGTTTAGAGAAAATCGTCACATATGTATATTTGAAACTAATTGAAATTTCTTAGAGAGAATTTAAATTTTTTGTTTTTGTGTTGAGTTGTTATAATTCTTTTTTGTGTTTTCAAAATTCCATATATTTGAAATTAATGAAAACTTCTTAGAAAGAAATTTTTAATTTTTTTAATGTGTTATGAATTGTAACAAATCTTTTTTGGGTTTGAAAAATTTGCAAATAATGTTTTCGATAAAAAGGAAAAAATAGAAATTAAAGTATTGTATTAATATATTTTCCCAAAAATTATTGAAATTTTTTTGACAACGAAGTTAAAAAAATATTGTGCATGATTTTCGTATTTTATATTATTATTATTATCTAGTAAGCAGAGAAAATATAATATAATTTAATTGTTGCCAAATTTTCGCTAACATGAAAAAAAGTATATTTTGTCACTGCTTGAGTAAAAGTGGTGTGCGTCCTGGCTATATTTTAGCTTGACATTAGCTGTCAAGTCATATCGGAGCAACTGATTGTTGAATTATTATTAAATAAATTTTTCACTTATTATACCCCAAACAGGTTATATTAAGCTTGTAGCGAAGTTTGTAGCAGCCAGAAGCAAACGTCGAGGATCATTAAAATATATATACTATATAAATATAAGTCGATTTTTAGTTTTTGAGATATCGATCTCAAACTTTACACAAGCTCTGGTTTCCACAAGCAGCTGCTCATTTGTCAGAATCGTCAATATCGGACCACTATATTATATGGTATAGCTGCCATAAAAACTGACCGGTCAAAATTTAGTTCTTGTATAGAATTTTTTTTTTTTTTGTCAGGGTCTTCACTAAATTCGGCATCGATTATTATCAAAGACCAAGCGAAACGCTCTGAATATATTGTTCAGATCGAACCACTACATCATATGGCTGCCACTGACCGGTCAAAATTAAGTTCTTGTATAGAATTTTTTGATGTTTGATAAAATAACTTCACGCAATTTGGCACAGATTATTTTCCAGAGCTGCGCTATAATATCCGAACAAATTATTTAGATCGGACACCTATGGCATATAGCTGTCATATAAAGCTGCCATATGTATCCTTCACAGAGCTTTATCGTGATCAAAATCAAGATAAAGATCTGTGATCAGTGCAGCCGGAATAAGCGATATTTCTTGTTTCTAAAAAATGTATATATATAATATTATGCAACAATGCTTTGCACGGCCGCAAACTCACTACAAGCTTGCTTCGAAAGCTACTGTTTTTAAATTCAATTCCATTTCTCAACCGTCAAACTCACCCAAACGCTACTTCCATTTAAATTAGCTGCCTATCGGTTCAAATAAATATCATATTTAATTTGCCGTCAACATTTGTTTTTGTTTCAATTTTGTCTTTTTTTATTTCACCCTTTGTTTTTGTTACAATTGCATTTCGCGCTCCACAAAAGTGTTGCTTTTCTTAATGTTGTGTAAATTTACACCAACCGAAACAACAACAAGAATAGAAACAGTACAACTTGCCGGCCACAATGTATACCGTAATGAACTTGGGTGGTTACCCCAGTCGGGGCACTTCAACTGAAATTAGCAATTAAATTACTTTTCCACTTTTCTTCTTTGCCGCCACTTTCCACTGCTCTTATTTTGCTTTAAGTGTGTACTTGGCTGCTTCTTACTTACATTTTAATTTCGATTTCTTTAATTTTTTTCGTCTTTTCATTTAATTTTCTTAGTGTCTGCGCATATTGTTGCCACGTGCCTTATTCATTGACACTTCCGGTTTTTTTTGTTTTTACCGCAAACTCACCTTTGCTGTGGTCGTTCGCTGTGTGTATTGAGTTCTTTATGTGTGTTTGAGTGTGGCACGTAGCGTCTACAACACTATTACCCCCTTATCTTGTTCTTTCTGTTTTCCTGTCAGTTGATAATACTTTACAATATTAAAGAGTTTATGTTGCCTTTTTGTAGCCGATATCGTTTGGCTTCTTTCACTTTTTTGTGTTCTTTGCGCTCCTTTTGTGTAAGAGCGGCTCCTAAATGGGTTTATTTATATTTTCCTTGCTTTTTAACTACATTTCCCAGCTCGTTTAATGATTTTAATTAGTCTAGTATAACTTTGTAAAAGCTGCCATGGTAAATTATACAAAGCAGCTGCTTAATTACTAAGCGCGGCAAGCGACGAAAATTGAAGTGTGTTTACAGCTATTTTTTCCAATTATCTCTTTTTTGCAATTTGAGATGAGTTCAAAGAGAGCTTACTTGAAGTTTATATAATGTTTCAGGTGTTGTTGAAATATTTTGCAAAAAATCAAAAAATGTTTCTAAAAGTTTTAAGTATTAAAGGGATATTTTGTTGTAGGCGTCCTTTATGTTATTGCAGCGAGAGAAACAATGTCATATGAGCTAATTAATCGGAACAGCGGATATTGGACTATAGGATATAGTACTGAAAAATGCCTGGCATTTTCAGGGCGTTGATCAACGCATTGATTTAATCCGCTGTGCTGTTGAGCGTCGTGGGTAAGGCTGCCGTCAGCAGGTACTCACGCAAAACACACCGACCGTTGTAGGATATAGTTTGCCCCGGCGGGCAAGGCGTAGAATTTGTCGTCGCCGGCAGGTTCTCCCGAAAATCACAACGAAAGTTATAGGATATAGTTGCCATACAAACTGACTGATTGAAATCACATTTTGGCCAGAAAAATTTTTTTAGTTTACGAAATTTGACACAGATTATTGTCTATGGCAACGCTGTATTTATATATTGTATAGAGCAGACCAATATAGCATATATTAGCCGCCATACAATCTGAACGATCAAAATCAAATTCTTCTTTGAAAAGCTTTCTCAGACTACAAGATATCTTCTCAAAATTTGGCACAGATTATTATCTAAGCAAACACTACAATCTCTAAATATATTGTTCAGATATGATCACTATAGAATATAGCTGCATTCAAACTGTGCCATCAAATCAATTTCCGGTACGGAAAACTTTTATACTGGTGTGGGATAATATTGCTGCTTTGCAACTGAAGTTAACGATTTTTCTTGTTTGAAACTATTAAGCTACTAATTTCTTCCAATATCATAAAACATGACGCATCTTGTAACGCAATTGTTTAAGAACCTATATCTTTAATTTTGTGTGATTAACCCCAAAGGTGGTTATGGTGCAAGCTTCATTTATAAGCACTTGGTTCATTTATGAAGATTTCCAGAAGCAATGCACGTTAGGAATGGTGTGTGCCTAAGATGATCTTAGATTGTAGTCACTGATTGATAAAGGTATGTGTCTTCGATATACATATTATGACAGAGATGGCAACGGGAGTATTTGAAGTAGAAAAAGTTAACAAATATTTGGAAAGTATTCTTAATGTTAACAGTGTAACTAGCTACTATAAAATGAGAGTGAGAATGACAGACAATGGACGGTGATCCCTTAAAATTAGGCATACTAGAAGAATTAGTCCAATGCCAAGGTGAAAGATAAGCTTGTTAAGACTCTTGTTGACTTTAAACTATATTTCTTTAGAAGCACAATCTCTATTATTAGTTTTAACGCAAAAATTTTCCGCAATATAATTAAAAATGTATATCATATTGGTAATAATTTCTTATGGCATGAAAACTTAGTCTAAAATATGACTTCAAGATCGAAAACTGTCAATAAAAGTATACTGATTGAAAATTGTTCAATATACAAATCTTACCTTGCATGTTGCGGCCCAACAAAGCCTGTGTCATGCGCCGAGCTGGCAGTGATTTGAGCATCTGTAATTGCACCAGACTCCATGCCTAGTGGTTGATGACATGTAGCTGTAAAAAAAATTATAATTATGAAATTAATTAATTAGTTGTTAATTAAATATGATTGCAGGGTGTATAGTTAAGCAAATACTGTGCGCTGTTATAGAAAAATAATATTTTTTTATATCGTTCTCCTTTTTTCTCATACAAGTTTCAGTTTTCCTATAGGTTACAGTTAAAACATTTTTTTTTTCCAAGAGAAAAATTAATAAATTAAACTTCAAACCAAAAAAATAACAAACAACAATAACAAACAAAATAATGTACTGCTACCACAAAGCTTGACAGCACTTTTCTCTATTTGTCCGTATTTTTGAAAGCTCATTAGTAGCTGTCACTTACAAAAAAGCTATGTAATTATTAATAAACAAACAAATACACCAAGTGTTTGTTCCAAAAAAAAAACAAAATATTTTAGTTCAAAATAATAAATTACACAGAAAGCAATACAACAAAATTACAACAAACAAAAAACGCATTTGTGTCACTTCAATCATAAAAAAGCGCACAGTCTGTCAAATGCATACATCAAAACAACTGAAGCGCGCTAAACAGTGTTGCACAGACGCGCAATGATGGGAGTTGCACGAAGTTTATCAGTGACGCACAAAGACAGCGGTACAGCAAAGTAAATTCCTCCACTTTTTCGACATTGTGGGGGGTGAGACAATGCAACCGCATAGTTCAATTGAAGGCAGCTGGTCGCATTGATGAGTCGAAACTGGTCGAAACTGGGAGGTGGCTGGCTGGAGCAGCGTCATCGTCTGCCACTGTTTAATGGCGGCGTTCGCGTGATTTTTTCGCATGACTCTGCAGCAAAAATAAATAAAATAACAGCAAGTAAAGAAGTGGCAACTAAACGTCTGGCACAGGCTGCAAGGCAGGAAAGATCGGCGGTAGACAAACAAGCAGGGAGACTAAAGATACCGCTTCGGGCATTTTGTCGCTTTTATATACCATGAACAATGTATACTGAGTTTGCCACGTAGTTTTGTAAAATCCAGAAGGAAGGAGACCCTAGAAAGTATCTGATTAGCGGGATAAACTGAGTCGATTTACACATGTCTGTCTGTATATACGCGAACTAATCTCTCATTTTTTGAGATATCGGTCTGAAATTTTACACACGTCGTTTTCTAACCATGAAGCTGCTCATCTGTTGGAACCGCTGATAGCGGACCACTATTACATATAGCTGCAATACAAACTGACGGATACTACTCTAGCCCTTGTATGGATCACTTTTTGATTTGACAAAATATCTTCATGAAATTTTGCATAGAATATTACCCAAGGCATTGCTACAATATCCCAAGAAATTGTTCAGATCGGATTACTATTGCATATAGCTGCTCTAGAAACTGACGTATTAAAATCAAGATAAAGATTTTTTTTAGACTGTTATGCCATGAAAAATGAACCTGTGAAGGGTATTATAGCCTCGATGCAACCGAAGTTAACGTTTTTTCTTGTTTTTTTTTATCTTTTTCAAGGGTGTGTATGAGGCCAGTTGCACGCTTGTGAAGAAGTGCTGCATGTTGCAAACAGGAAAGCATTTTATAGTAGGCCCTCTGTCTGCAGGGTTAATATCAGCGCTGTAGCCATTCAAAACCCCATATAAGCTATAAAATATTCAAGTATGTGGCACATGTAAGGTCCACATATTATTTTTTCGCTGTCAGCCACTTTTCGCTCTTGCTGCTGCCAATTTGCAACAAAGTTTCAATTATTTATTTCATTCTCTTAAATTCACTTGTGTAGGTGCAGATTTTTTATAATTAACGCGCTTGCATTTTTTGCGCGTCTTGCCAGTTGCAACATGGTGTTGCATGTATATAAAGAAATAAAATAAGAAAATTATAATTTTTGTATGCCCCGTTTTTGTTCATGTCATTGCATTTGCATTTTTTCTTTTCTACTCTTTACACAACTTTGGTGAATGTAAATGAGTGCTCTGCTTTGCACGCGACAGACATTCCCATGCATCTCTATTTTCTTGCAATGCATATCTGCTGCATCTTCGTGTGACCAACTTAGCGCTGCAAGTAAGGCGCTTGTGTCGCTTGCTATTTTAGTTTTTCCTTGTACTTGCATCATATTTTTGTTTGTTCGCTTGTCGTTCATTAATTCTACATTTTTTTTCTATTCTTGGGTTTAGTAAATTTTCGTGTCAAATTTTTAATGAGTTGTGCTTTCACATTTGTCACCCACTTCCCCAAAAAACAGCGCTTTGCTATGCAATTTTTCAATTAACGAACGGCAACTGCTGCTCGGCGGCGATGTTATAATATTATTAAGAGCTTTTACATGAGCGCGCCCAGAAAGGATTGCTTTTGTATAATTAAGTACTAGAGTTGTTGGAAGAAATTACTCAAAATATGAAAATTTTATATTTTTAAACGTTTAGATGCTCATAAATCTGTGGTAGCCGCAGGCGTCCAAGCAGTTTGACATAATCTTTTTAATAATAGATCATATGCGGTATGAAAAAAATAGTAAGTTTTATCAGCCATAATACGTAAAGAATTTTTCAAATAAGCATTAGTTTGAATAATCTTTTATATATTTGTAAATAAATACCGATATTATTACTTAATTTCACAAATATGCGATCCATAATTTATAAGCTGAATTTCGAAAATATGATATCACAATTTTCAAATTTAATTTAGAAAATATAGTATCGATTATTATACATATCGATTGTTAATGAAAACATGTTATCGATTATTATCGATAACGATTGTTACTTTGCAAAATTAAGCACCAATATCGATGGCAAAAGTTGCAGAACTACCAGTGAAATAGCAGAACAGAAGAGTGACTCAGATTTGCCACGATATTTGTAAGGCTAGCTCAAAGCTGAAGTGTTGTTTAACGAAGAAATACTCAAAATTTATTTAAATTATTGATATTTTGATATCGATATTTCTATAATAGTCAATATTTAAGGATATCGATAAATTTAATTATTAACGATATATTTCTGCTAATGTTTTGTAAGTGTCAATAAAGTTTAATAGTTTAGGCTTGCTTAAAAGAAACCGATTTATTTATAACGGGTAATCCAAGTGGAGGTACTTTGCATAATAATAGCCTCTTTTTTACAGATCACGCATGATTGGATAATATTTGACCGATAGACCAGCCCAGCACGCAGAAAATATAGCGGCCGTAGCAGAGAGTGTACACGAAGAGCATGGAGAGTCGATTTGACGCCGTTCGTAGTAACTCGGACTGACGTATGGAACGACTTGGCGCATTTTACATCGAGATCTTGAATTGAAAGCGTACAAAATACAGCTTGTGAAAGAACTTGAAAAGTTCCGACGTTTTCGATCCAAATGTTGGTACACTATTCTACTAATTTATCTTGGTTTCACTGATATTCCATACATCAAATAATTATAACGGCATGTATTTAAGTTGTTATTTCCATATACAAGTATATGCACTTCTTCAGCTTTCCAGCAAACGACCAATTCATCGATCTATCAAAATGATCGCGTGCGAAACGCGATGAGCTGGCGCAAACGGAGGACAAATCAGGATTTACATTCGAAAAGGTTTTGCAATGTGCTTTTTAGAATTGCCAGAAAATCATCTACTATTAGCTGCTCCCTTACAGTCAAGCTCTTAACTTGGACTTGTACTGTCAACAATTGGACAGTTTGAATGAAGCAATCACCCAGAAGTGGTCAGTTTTAGCCATTGTGGAGTTGTGTTCTATCAGAAAAACGCTAGGCCACACAGAGCGAGAATGACTTGCTAGAACCCTCCGGAATTGCTTGGGAGATTTCTACCCGTGCAACTTATAGTTCGACCCAGGCCCCCATTTATTATATGAGCTGCATTGAATATATCATGTGACCTGGCTCGTCAGGTTTAATTATTGATTTTTTTGGCAGTAAAAAATTTAAAAAAATTAATTGTGAGAAAAATGAGATTCTTTAATTAGAAAGTATATTCCCACTGTGAAATTCCCACAACTTATGTGCACCTTAATTAACGATTTAACCAACTTTTAACTCAACTTAACTCAATAAAAGTCAATTGCAATTTATTGTTAAGTTTCTCTTTTAAGTTGTTGTTGTTGCCGCATTGAGACGCGCGCCGCTGTGTGCCATTTCACACTGTGACAAATCACAAATTATTCATATACTAAAACACGCGTCGGCCAGCACATGTTAATACGAATATGTTACAGGTAAGTAACCATATACTCAAGCATGTGTGCCGAGGTGTATATATGTACATATATGAATATAAAGCCGCAATGAAGACCACGCCAGTGACGCCAAGACAAGCAATGTAACACAAATTTTCCGAATGAATGCATCACTGCCACTGTTGGCGATTTCTGCTGTCGCTATCAGTATTTTTTGTTGTTGCTGTTGTTGTAGACAATACAGGGCGCTACGCATAATGCCACATATGCGCTGTGGCACTGACGCCTGCCACTACAAATTCAAATGCCACATATCAGCAAGAATATTATTCAAGCATATGTGCGAACGGCAAGGCAAAAAGTGCTTTAAAAACAACAAAAACAACCAGAAGCAAGGCAGTTATGTTATAACAAAAACATTTCCAAAGAGCAAAACGCAACCATGTATGCAAATTATTTGCACGCATGTGCTTTATGCTTGTTATGTTGCAAGTTGCCGCTTTGCATACTTTAAACTTGCCACCGTCAAGCTTGTGGGAAGTTGTGGCAGTCACATACTACAAACACTAACATATGCGTTGAGTAGTTGTTGGCGCACCGTAAAAGAATTGTTCGATGTCAGTTGAAAATTTATTTATAAGCCACAGAATGACTTGCATTGCATTGCGGCTTTTTGCGGAGTCCGCCAATGCTTCCTCTTGCCGCGCCGGCATGCGTTTGCTGCAAATGCATTTTTATGGTTACTGTTGCAGCAATTGTTTCTAACTGAACGCACCGCTAACTGACGCACGCAAAAAACAGTAACAACAACAAAATAATATAAAAAATGACGGCGTTTACT